TTTTTTATTCAGTGGGGGAAGCAGGCTTCCACAGTAATATGACCATGATTAACTGTTTTATTTCCTCTCTGTGAAGCCAAGTCATTCTGTATTACTTGAAACCAATTTAGTTTAAATGAAGTATGTTAGATCAGATGACCAAGCATTAACAACTAATGCTGATTACAGTAAACCAGCCTATAATGACCTTCTCTTGATGAGGAAGAGGGCATAGCCCAGCCACAGTGTTCCCAGCATCAGCAGCAGGCAGAGAATAGGGCGCTCCCTGGTGCACAGAACCATTGTTGCAGGCAGTGAGATGCCTCCATTCTCTGTTCCGTTCACTCCCTGATGAAGTATCACACCCAGACCATGCAGTTCCTCTGTGCTTCCGTTGACTAGTGTAAGGCCATGATAATATTTATGAAATACTGAGAGAAAAGAGAGATATAGTGGACAGCAATTAAGTGAATCATAAATAAAAAAAAAAAATTCTAAAAAGACTAGTGCACCCAGAAACAACAAATCGGTCATAATTTCCAAATGCGGGTTTTCCAAATGCATTAGATTTTTCTGAAACCTAAAAAGAGATCTTAGGCAGAATGTTCATGCTGCTCTTTTCCATTCAATGAAAGTGAATGGAAACAGGGGCTCTTCTGAAGCAATAATAATACCAAAATTTAAGTTACCCTATTATAGGGGTGTGCAATAATTATCATCTGCGATAATATCATAATAGCTGTTTTAGCGATATGTGAGCTGACATTATGGAGTATGTCACTTTTGTTTGCAAAAAACAAACAAAAACACGTCTTGAGAGTCTAAAAGCATTTACTGTGTGATAAAGCATATCAGAATGCAGTTAATATGCCCCTATAATTTAAGATATGAAAGCAAAAATATCCCTGTATGGGTTTTTTGTTTTGTATATTTGTATGTATATTTACATAGTTAAGTAATATCACACAAACAACATTAGTGTGTGAGTGTGATTGCAAATGTGATATTAATTTTATACAACAGTTCAACAAACAAGAAGCTAATATTGAGTGAGTTACATTTTGGACACAATATTGTCTGTTTTTTTCTGTTTTTGACAATGAAAATAGCTCCAATCAAAGCCGGAGCAGAACAGTTGTGCGTCTAAGAGCGACACTGCGGTGTTTCGTTTCTGAATGAATCTGTTTATTAATTAATCATTAATCAAGTCAATGATTCAATGATCCATTCATAAAGTCAGCCAGTTGCTTCATTTCTAAATGAATCAGCCGTTTTGAACTAATCATTTGAATGAATGAATCAATTAATCATTAATTAAGACAGGGACGGTTTTAGTGTCATATTTATTTATTCATCACTGGCCTAAACCAGCCAAGATACCAACACAAAAACACACTCAGCAGAATATTGTTTAATTATCCCTATCGAAAAATCACAATATATATATATATTGTATATCATTTTTTACCAATTTCGCACATGTGTGACCCCTACCCTATTATTTGCTGAAAACAAGTCATACGGGTAACTTTTATGTTACTCTATGTATCTTTTTATTATTTTTGGAATTTAGCAGCCACAGTTTCGATTTACTATTACTGAATAGAGCTGGAAAAGAGCTGCTTGAACATTTTGCTTTAAACGACTCTTTTTATTTTCCATGGAATGGGATAAAATTACAGGTTTGGAATGCCATGATGGGGAGCACATGACAAATAAAAAAATTATTGGGTACAGTATTGTTTTAAAGGGATAGTTCACCAAAATTAAAATTAAAATTCTGTCATCATTTACTCATCCTCATGTCATTCTATATTTTGAGAAATGTGCCCATGTTATTTTTCTTTGTCGAAAACGGCTTGGTTACCAACATTCTATAAAATATCTTCTTTTGTGTTCCAAAGAACAAAGTACGTTGATTTAAACAACTTGAGGGCGAGTAAATGATGACAGAATTTTCATTTTTGGGTGAACTATCCCTTTAAACCACACCAAACGGAAATATCATCAACAATATTCTTACATCAAAATGCATCAAGACATTTACATTCTCTCCCCATTTCTTTCTCACTTAAACCTCCCTGTTGTTAAATCATCATTAATGATTTCTTTCTGAGATTTTACAAGCCTGCTCTAGTTTGGATATTAGTTTCAGCAACGCCTGTGGTCCTTTTACATGTCAGAGCTCTGAACTTACTCTTTATGGTGCCTTTCAAAGCGTCGCCCACAAAGGCAATGGAGATGAACAAAGCTATCACTTCTTCTGTGGAGCTGAGAGGACACATAGCACACAGTGAACAGCTCATCTTTACTTTTATCAAAGCAACAGAGCACAAACCAAGACATAACAACAAAATCAAGGCACGCCACAAACAGAGATTACCACACACACGACAGGACAGCACATTTTTTATGATGGATGTTTATGCTACAGAGAGAGGCCATAGCAGAGGAATCTGAGTTATATCAGAATGTGGTGTCTGCCTGAGGAGATTTCATACATCAGTAAAAGACAACTGGATTGTTACATTTTCTCAAGCAAATAAGTGAGGTGCATGTTTGTGTAAAACTCCACCACAATTCTAGGGTGTTATGGGTGGTTGTCAGCAAGTTGTTTCGGTGCTTTAAGCGGGCTTTAGCTTTGCTTTGCAATTACTAGGGTGTTCTAGGTGGTTGCTACCTGGTTACTAGCTGGTTGCATACTGACCGAAAACATTGAGAAATCATCCCCAAGTCTTTATAATATTCTGATCTCAAGATATCGTAAATCTGATTGCTTAGAAAAGTAATAGCATACTTCAACAATTCACATTTCTTGTGTTTTTATCATGTCTATAGTGCAAATGGTGCAGAACAAGTTTTGGGGTTTGTGATATGAACAATATAACATTGATATGTACATCAGGCATGTGATCAGTTAAGGACAAAAAAGAAGGAGAATATATAGTTTGTCATATATATATTTATAGCACTTCAGCTGTTTCAGGACACATTCTGTTGTTTTTACGGAACCCATTTAGATAATAAAAACAATGATAATAAATAATAATAATCATAATCATAATTCAAAATATTATTTTCTTTTATTAAATTATAAAATTTCAATAATGGTATTATACTGTAAAATAAAAATCTGTATTTAATGAAAATAATAATACTAATAATGGCAATACTCATTTTATTTTACACTGCAGTAAAATTACATTGTTTGCACTTTGATCTGAACGTAAACAATGTATCTGCGTACATACGTTATCTTTTGTGAACAAAAAGTATTCTCGTAGCTTTGTAAAATTACAGTTGAACCACTGATGTCACATGGATTATTTTAACGATCTCCTTGCTACGTTTCTGAGCCTTGATAGTGTTAGGATCCTTGCTGTCTATGCAGGGTCAGAGAGCTCTCAGATTTCATCAAAAATATCTTAATTTGCGTTCCGAAGATGAACGAAGGTCTTACGAGTTTGGAAAGACGAGGGTGAGTAATTAATGACAGAATTTTCATTTTTGGGTGAACCATTCCTTTAAATAAAGGTTCCGAAAGGGTGTTTTCAAAGCAATGTCATAGAAGAGCCATTTTTGGTTCCTCAAAGAACCTTTCAGAGATCAGTTCCCAGAGGAACCATATTTGTCTCAGAACACAGGCAAAGAAGCAGAAACAAGCAGATGGATATGTAAAATAATGTGATAATCAAACATTAAACAGCAGATAAATCAAAACTGCCTAACGTTACCATATGAAATGTCGACAGTCACAGGAAGTGGTTTAGGACTGAGAAGCTTAGGAGGTGTTGATGAAGTGATCCACTCCATCTATGTTTTGATAATCGACCTAAATCCCATCCAGACGTAGTCTTTGACAAAAACACGATTTTCTCAGCTTTTTTGTTCAACTTTTTTTTTTTTTTTATGAAACTTACCCACAATCAAATATTGATTTAAAAAAAAAAAAAAGAAAGCATGAAACTAGAATAAAATGGTTTGTTTTGTAAGCAGAGGCTCTAGTTCTTTGCTTTGACACACTGCATGTTCAGATATTCATACAGCAAAACATTCTGGGGCCCATGAAACTTCTGCAAATGATCAAAAATGCTGGCGGTGGCTGGCAACTTTAAAAATAAATAAATAAATAATGCTGACAGGGAAAGAGTTAGAAATCTGAAGAAGCTTTTTCCACTATAAAGAACCTTTTGTGCAATGGAAAGTTTAAATGGATGTGAAAGGTTATTGATTGAACCATCGATGCCAATGAAGAACCTTTATTTGTAAAACTTTTACATTCCACAAAATTTATTTATAGTGGAAAAGGTTCTTTGGATTGTTCAAATGTTTAACCGTCTGGGCGTCTTCAGTCACTTTTGACAGAAAATCATCGGATTGAGATGACACTTGGCGACACTTGGCTATGTGAGCACACAAAACAATCATGGACATGATTTGGATATGTTAAAGGGTCGAAAATTAAAAAAATAACACTTGGTACTGTAGCAGACAAAAATGACAGCAGAAAAAAATCTTAAAAAGGTATCTTAAAATCCCCTCAGAATTTTAAATAACCAAATATATTATTGAACAAAAATATACATTACATTTACATTGATTTTCCTGAGTTACATTTCAAGGTAGTGTGGTCACTTTTGACCACAACGCTACCAAGTGTAACGTCTCGGTTACGTATGTAACCCTCGTTCCCTGAAGGAGGGAACGGAGACGTCACGTCGGATGACCGACGAATTGGAATTGGGATCTCGCTTAGAGAGACCAATCCACTTCGAGTGTAAACTAAACGAGCCAATGCACATTGGCATGCGATTATTGCATCCAGCTGCTGCTGATCACAGCGTGAGTAGCATCTGCTGCCTACTTATACTCACGCTGTGATCAGCAGCAGCTGGATGCAATAATCGCATGCCAATGTGCATTGGCTCGTTTAGTTTACACTCGAAGTGGATTGGTCTCTCTAAGCGAGATCCCAATTCCAATTCGTCGGTCATCCGACGTGACGTCGAGAGTGACCGACTGAAAGGGAACCCAAAAATGAAGAGGCACAGAGAGTTAAGAAATGTTCACAAAAAGGAACCCAAAAAAAAAAAAAAAGCCTTTTGGAACCTTTATTTTTAAGAGTGTAGAACAAAAGGTTTTTTTATAGTGGAAAAAGGTCCTTTAGATTTTTTAAAATATTGTTCACACTAAGTAAAAAAAAATATTATTCTAGGAACTGTTCTCTGAAATGTTCTTTAGAGAACCAAAAATGGTTCTTCTATTTCATCACTGTGAAAACCACCTTTTGCCATCTTTATTTCTAAAATTGTACCAAGAAAAATGGAAAAATTAAAAAGAAATGCTTCTTTTGAGAACTGTTCCCTAGAAGGAACCCAAAGAGGAACCCAAAATAGTTCTATGGCATTAAAAAAAAACTTTTGGAACCTGTATATTCAAGAGTGTAGTTGGTGTGCTTCTGGTCCAAGGTGGTCCATCAGCTAGACCAAGATGGTCTACCAATGTAGTCCAGCTGATCATCCATCTAGGCCAGCTATAACCAGCTAACGACTATAAATGATTAACTTTATAATTTGAGCACAGACCTATCTCTCCTTGTGTGCTCTCGTCATTCAGAGAGCCGAACGCAATGGCCGGCAGCAGGATGGCGATGTAGAGGAAGATGGCTGTGGTGGTGTACTTCAGCAAAGATCTGTTAGCGTCCAGAATCCCTGGAGAGAGAAGCCACACAGCAGCAAACACCTCAGCCCGAGCAAACAGAGAGATTTCTGTTATTTCTAGTAAAAGTGAAGTCAACCAGAGACTCGCCATCTGTGAAGTCCGACAGGTACAACGGAAGCCTGCGGCACAGGTCTTCATAAATGCCACGACCTGCTCGGAGGAAATCTTTTACCTGGGCACAAAAGGATATTTGGAAGTGAAAAAATATGCTGATAATGTTTTTTGAATACATAAACACAGAGCTCATCAAATCCTAAGTGCATAAACATGTAAACCTTAACAAAAAAACGTGTTGTTGTAAAATATCACAAGATGGAAAATTGTTATTTATTTGTGATCCAGATGCCAGATCCAGAATGCGCTTGGAAATGTTCTATCTCTTATTATGCAGTAGGAAAAGAAATATAATGGAAAATCTGTTCTTGAATCTCTGAAATAATTACATTATAGGGGGAATGTGTGAATAATCCTAGTGACAGAATACAACGAACACTTACTACAAAGAGGATAAGCTGTGAAACGTGAAAATTGAGGCATTTTTCAAGAAACCAACCAATGGTTAGTAAAAGGAGATGCTTATTTATTTTTGAAAAAAGTCTTATGCTAATCAAGGCTGCATTTATTTGATCAAATATACAATAAAAAACATTGTGTGACATATTATTATAATTTAAAATTACTGTTTTCTATTTCAATATATTGTAAACTTATCGACGCTGCATTTTCAGCATCATTACTGCAGTATTCAGATAATCTCAAGAAGTTTTATGTTTTAACTGTTGGGTACAATTATGATGGTCAACATTTCTAAGGTGGAAGAGGAAAAAAAATCTGCCATTATGTCCCCACCAATGTCAAAATCAAACCTACCCCCATGAAGCACTGTATATGTCAAAAGAGAAACACATTCGGTGATTTATTAAGTGAACGTAACATTTTGAGAAAGAAACCGGATGTGTGTCAGTATATTCGGTTCGTGCATTTGGTCTTAAAGAGACAGCAGCCTATAAATACCTGCTGCTGTCTGCATCATTAATGCTAATCAAACAACAAAATACAGCTTTAACAAAGAGTAATCTGTATTTAATTTATACACTATTCTTATTTTACACTTATTAGATTTCTGTACCTGAATACTACTGTTACTGACTTTATTTGTAATGTTGTTATACTGTATTCATCTATGCTAGTAATTTGTGTATTTGCTATTATTTTATTACTGACTTTTCAGTTGTCTTTAATGATGTTTATGAACTTTAATATTTAGGCCAGTAGTTTTTGATGTGGTATCAAAGTACTTAAAGTGTTCTTTAAGTAATAAATGAAAAGCAATTTTTTTTTATTCGATAAATGATCCAATCCGAGACTCAAAAATGGTAAAATGATGAGTTTTGTGATGGGTTGCACCACTAGTGCAGCATAATGTGAGGGCGGTGTGTGTATATGTGAAGAGTGCAGCACTTCACGGCCCACAGAGAAAACCCAACATTAAGTTAACCGGCAGACTGAGCAGATAATTGGTTGGCCAAGTCATTTACATGCCCCGAGGCTCTCTTGGCTCCAGACCTTGAGTGGTTTGTTGCTGTGTGGGTCGGTCTCTTCCTCCAGCGAGGGCTTCTGGATGGCAGTGGAGAGCCGCTGCCTTTGAATCACCAGCTCCTGCTTGAAGTCCTCCTGGGTCTTCGTTTCCAGGAGTTTCTGTCTAAACGAGATGTCTGAGAACAAGGTGGCAAACGTGCGGCCGAGCTCTATGGCGGTCTTTGTGCTTTTCTGCAGGGTACGGAAGAGGAAAATTACAATAGAGGCTTAAATAGATCTGAGATGCTAAAAGTAACACTACAGATAAAAAAATAAAAAACCTGAAGACTTCAAGTGTAAAAATTGACACGGTTTGAAAGAATTGCAAATTAGCACACAGCAGTGATAATACAAATATGTGTTTTTGACACTCTAGGTGATGATAGGTGAAAGGAGCGGCTTACTGTGCGAGGCGGTGCCAGGATGAGGATAACGTAGCGAACCTCGCAGCAGTTCACACCCCAGTTCTGCGGCCGCTCCAGACGCGAAACACAGACGCAGCGTCTCTGAAGACTCTTCACGTTACAGCTGAATACAGAAGGGCACACACGTTTCATCAGACATATATATGATTAAATGTAAATAAATGATTAAATAGACAGATAGATAGGCTGGGCTGATCAGATTTGATATTTAGTTAATATCTGCATCAGCCAATAAATGTGCCTGCTTGATTGCTTCTAGGCATGCATTTTTTGTGTTCAAAGTAAAATTGTGTAAAATAAATAATTGTGTACATCTCAGTTGCTATTTCCTAACATAAATAGGGTGCATAATATAAACTGGCAGCAGAAAGTTTGTAAAAAGTTCAAATTCTCACCAAGGATGCATTTATTTGATCAAATATACAGAAATATAAAAACAGAAACAATGTGAAATATTATACAATTAAAAAAGCTGTTTTCTATGTGAATATAGTGTAAAATGTAATTTATTTCTGTGATCAAAGCTGAATTTTCAGCATCATTACTGCAGTCTTCAGTGTCACATGATCTTCAGAAATCATTCTAATATGCTGATTTGCTGCTCAAGAAACATTTCTGATTATTATCAATGTTGAAAACAGTTTTTGCTGCTTAATATTTTTGCTTTGGATGCTTTGATGAATAGAAATAGATATTTTTTTTTTACATTATAAATGTCTTTTCTGTCACTTTTGATTGATTTAATGGCATCCTTGCTGAATAAAAATATTAATAGCTTTTTTACAGAAATATAAAAACAGAAACAATGTGAAATATTATACAATTAAAAAAGCTGTTTTCTATGTGAATATAGTGTAAAATGTAATTTATTTCTGTGATCAAAGCTGAATTTTCAGCATCATTACTGCAGTCTTCAGTGTCACATGATCTTCAGAAATCATTCTAATATGCTGATTTGCTGCTCAAGAAACATTTCTGATTATTATCAATGTTGAAAACAGTTTTTGCTGCTTAATATTTTTGCTTTGGATGCTTTGATGAATAGAAATATATATATTTTTTTACATTATAAATGTCTTTTCTGTCACTTTTGATTGATTTAATGGCATCCTTGCTGAATAAAAATATTAATAGCTTTTTCATTTGTTTTTCTTTTTTCTTTTTTTGCACTTACCATAAACTTGTGAATGGTAATGCATCATAAATATATTAAGAAGCAAAAACTGTTTTCAACATTGATAAAAATAAGAAATGTTTCTTGACTGGAGTAATAATGCTGAAAATTCACATTTTCCATTACGGGAATAAATTACATTTTAAAATATATTCAAACAGAATCAGTTATTTTAAATTTTATCAATAATTCACAATATTACTATTTTTACTGTATTCTTTATATCTAATAAACCAGCCTTGGTGAGCATAAGATAATGCTTATTAAAAAGCATTTTAAAAAAAACGTAATTATTGCAAACTTTTGTAAATTTGCAAATAAAAATGTACATTTACTGTATATGCACAAAGTGCAATTATTATTTTAATGGTATCACCATAAAGATACATAAAAGTATGTAAATGCTTTAACATTGCACTATATGCATGTATATTATAGGCTTAAAATGTAACTCCAGGATCCCTGGTCATAAAGAGATATTCGATATTTACAGTATGCTCTACTGGAAAAAAACATACAGGTGGACTACATATGGCTATGGTTCAAAAATAGACTTAGATATATATGTATGTATTTTAAGTGCTTAATTATTGATGTTTAAGGTCTACATACAGCACACAGAGCCAGGACTGCTGGTAGCGAACTCCAGTGGCTGTCGCTGTCACTCCCTGAATGGTCTCGGTCAACAAGTGAACTTCAACAGAGAGAGAGAGAGAGAGAATACAGTAAAACACATTCCCTTTTTTTTAGTTTTTTAAAGACAGCGGGTCTTCCATTAAGCTCATCCTCTGAGGGTTTGCCCTGGATTTCTGGACTGCTAGACTATAGATGACCTGTGGCCCTTGGGGCAGACGGCCCGCTGCTCACCGTTGGCCTCCTGTCCTCCGGCGTCTGTGAACAGAGCACTCATGACCTCCTCCGCATTGCAGCTGCCCTGGCCGTCCGTGGCCACATGCTCCAGCATTCTGCGCAGCACTTCATCCAGGGAGGACGCCCTCTCGTCCAGCAGGATGCTGGCCTGGGCCAAAAACCCATCCAGATCCCGGTGAGCTCTCACCTCCTCCTGGAAATCCACCAGCTTCACATACTGCAGCAAGAAAGAAGAGCTCTAAAGGGGTTGCTTGGCAACGAAGCCTGTTTATCAATGATTCTTTGAATCTGGTTCTTTTTAATCAAGCATTTAAACCAATTCTCAAAGCATTTGCATTACATTTACACATAGTTTTATTCAAAGCGAACCCGTTGGCATTGCTCACAGAATCAAAGTAGTGTATTTGTATGTTTGTAACATTACTAGATATTTATTTTACTGGACCACTGAGTGATTCTGAATCAGTGAATCAATTTTTTTTTAAACAAAACTTGCCCAAACAAACCAATTAACTGAAATAAATGACCCATTATTAATGGTATTGTTTGTGGCTTGCATATTGAATATGCAAAGCTATAAACACGTGCAATACAACATTATAATATTATATTAATTAATATAATTGTTTTAAAATACTAAGATCATTTAAAATAACTGGAATTGTTCATTTTTAGTAAAATAATATTTTTAATCAAAAAGTTATTTTTATTGTAAAACATTTTTTTATACTACACTACACTTTTTAACACAACCAATCAGAAGTTTGGAATAAGTAGGATTTTTAATGTTTTTTAAAAGAAGTCTCTTCTGCTGTGTTTACTTAATCAAAAATACAGTAAAAACTTTAATATTGTGCATATTAGAATGATTTATGAAGGATCATGTGACACTGAAGACTGGACTAATGATGCTAAAAATTCAGCTTTACCATCATAAATAGCTGAAATTTTAAAATATATTTAAATAGAAAAGTTATTTTAATCTTTTTAATAATCAAAGTTATTGTAATATTATTCTACATTATTACTGTTTTTTATTGTATTATTGCACGCATCCTTGATGAGCATATAAGACTTCTTTCAAAAACAGTAAAAAATCGTAATTAGAAGTGTACATTTATAATGTTTATGAATTCCATCTCATAACTTTAGACCATAAAAATGAGAGAAATGCACGACTGAGGAAGCCCAGCCATAAATGCATCAATTAAACAACGGATGTAAATGATGAAAGAGCCTTAGTAAGAAAGGCTTACTCTTCTTGATGTATGCAGAAGGCCAAATCCTGAAGCATCAGCGTCTATTCATAGGAGGAAAAGAGGGGAAAAAGTGATAAATTGTTAAAACCCTTGTGCTGTTACATGGATGCATGAGTTTGAAGGACAGACCACTGAGCCAGGCCTCCCAGAAGATGCGTTTTCCTTCATTATCTCGGAGCCCTCTGTATTATGTCTCGCTGGTTATAAATAGTCAAAGAGTCTCCAAGTCTGCACGTTAGAAGTGCATTGTGCTCCCTGAACCCTGACACCGCAGTCACTTAGGAATAAGACCTGGCACAGCCTGCTTCCCCAGTGCTGTAAACACATCAGTCCAAACATGAAAACAATACTGATTGTTTTTAAGGCCCGAAGTGAACACAGAGAATTTCTGCTGCAGACGGATGAGACTGCCGGGATTCGTCTATACCTCGGGCAACAATCACAATGATTTTTTGAGATTTTTGAAGTACTCTCAAAGAGAATCTCATCTGAGCCACCCACCCACACACACACACACACAAACATGCACATCACACACAGATCCAAAGCAGCACTCAGATGCATCACACGCTCTGACCTGAGATGCTCGGCTGAACGTTCGTCTCGTAGTGACTTCTGTCCGGCGGGACGGCGAGCGTGTCTCGTTTCCTCCGGCTCTCTTCTCCGCTGTCCTCTGTTTCGGCGTCTCGCAGCTCTGAGACATCAACATGTCACAATAGAGCTCCTTAAGTAGGTCTTTCTTAGCTTTAAGATGATTATTATAATCTCATTTCCCTGCCTAACTGGGTCTGACGTGACCTTTTGCAGCTGGTAGATGAAATATAGCACCGTGCATTTATATATGGAGGCTGAGAGGTGTTCACTTCCTGTTCAATGAATCATGCTCGTTTTCATCTCGAGCGTAGAAATATTTATTTAACGCTATTTATGGCTTGACTGCAGATGCATCACCCCTCAAAAAATATATGCACCATCTGTTAAAGCTACACAATGCACCCATGGCCTCATAAAAGAAAAACCTGCACAAAACCAGGCACACAGAGCAATATAACCATAGCCGTCCCAATAAATTATTTCATTGCATGGAAGAGTATAATCATGACATGAGCTAAACTACATGAGGAATAAACTGAGGTTGCAGCTGTTGGGGTGATGCGCTGTGAAGTCAGTTTACTCGCCGTCTGCAGTTTTGATGCTATTTACTGTGTATTACGGTGAATTTGAGATGGTTATATTTAATAAATTCACAATCATATGATCAAGACGTTTCCTCTTACAGTATTTCACACGTCGGATTTCACCCTCAGCCTTCGTAAACCTGTTTTGTTTGTCTGCCAGTTAACAGAGAGCTCGCTAACTGAACTTGGCATGGTAAATCTTATTTAAATAATGTTTGGTTCTCACCCATCCTTTGGAACGGGTGGCCATTTCTTGTCTGTCCAGGTGATGAAGCGTCTGTGGAAGAAACGGGTCTCAATTGATCAACTAAACATTGTCATGCAAATGCATTTCTACATATATTTCAAGGTGTGTAAATGTGAAATTAATTTCAGTAGTCAGAAGAGGAATTACGACAACGTCAAATTTAAAATAAAGGAGTAAAAATTACTGGGCTGGTACTACTATGGTTTTTGGACATGTACTATGATGCTATCATGGTTTTACTTGATGGCGGATCTCACAAAAGACGTCAAGAGTTTTTCTAGGTTATATAACCCTAAAATCAAAGAAAAAAATTTAAAGTTGGCATGAAACAGAAATTATGATGGTCCTTTCTTGCCTATTATAGCATATGTACAACGGAAACGGCAGATTTTGTCAGTTTATTGGATCATTGTTGTTTGCTAATTACTAATTACTAATTGTGAAGATCTCATGAGTGACAGGTTGCTGGATGATGCTGATGAAAAATTACAAGGATACAAAATAATAATAAAAATATGTACATGGATGAATCATTTATAACGAACACTGGAATATTTAATTAAAAATAATTATTTTGATTTCATGTGGCCTTTAAACCTATTTTTAAAATCTTTATGATTTCTTTCTTTATACATACACTACCGTTCAAAAGTTTGGGATCAGTAAGACTTGTAATGTTTTTTAAAGAAGTCTCTTATGCTCATCAAGGCTGCATTTATTTGATCAAAGATACGGGGAAAAAAACAGTAATAATGCAAAATGTTATTACAATATAAAATAATGGTTTCTATTTTAATATCCTTTAAAATATAATTTACGAATAAAAGTTTTAATTTCTTTCAAAAAAGAAAGAATAAAAATTTACTGACCCCAAACTTTTGAACGGTAGTGTATTTTGTTTGAAAATATTTCTATTTGAAATAAACGTTTTTTTTTTTTTACTTTTTATTCATCAAAGAATCCTGAAAAAAAGTATCACAGGTTCCAAAAAAATATGAAGCAGCAACAGTTTCCAGCACTGATAATAAATCAGCATATTAGAATGATTTCTGAAGATCATGTGACACTTTATACTGGAGTAATGATGCTGGAAATACAGCTTTGCATCACAGCAATAAATAGATTTTAATGTATATTAAAATAGAAAAACGTTATTTTACATCGTAATAATATTTCACAATATTACATTTTTCCCTGTATTTTTGATCAAATAAATGCAGCCTTAATGAGCATAAGAAACTACTTTAAAAAACATTAAACATTTTCTGATCCCCACTAACTGAACGATAGTGTATATTCTTTGCATTTACTTAATTATTATTTATTACTTTATTACAACAATTGTTTTATTGTATTATAGTAATTATAATCTAAATCACTTTTGAAGGAATTAAAAAAACAAAACAAAAAGGCACTTGTATGCTTTACAGGAATGAAAATGTGAGGAGGAAATTCCATGCAACTACTTCTACTGTAAGTAGATGAATAATAAATGAACAGTTGCAATGAGCATTATTATGGCACTGAAGAGAGGCAATAGAGTGTAGAGCAGTCATGAGCCACTATGAATTCAGGATCCTGACTTTTACCCTAACACTTATTCCAGGCCCTCAAAGAGACTGGGATTTCATGGAAATTTCCCATCATTGAAATTCATCCAATTTACCCCAGCCCTCATAGCGTCATGCATGGAAGGCTTACGGCCACATATTTTCTTCAGGGTGGATGGGATAAAGAGGTCATTCTCTGCACAAAAATGGTATCACGGGCTGTAGGATATTCTTAGCACATGGTGTTTCTATCTCCAATGACCGCGGCTTCACCATCATCCCGCCATCTTTAATTTAGCAGACGACTTGCTTTGTTCTAACAGTCCTCACATTAGACGCTTTGAGCCTCAGGGCAGCTCGCAACCCTGCAGGCTTGGACAAATGGATTCGGTTATATCTTTGTGACAAATTATCATCTGTTGTACAGGAACGCTTGCTAAATAATAAATAAATTATTAGGTCGTCTGCAAAACCGGGGATTTTCTTTCGAGAACGCTTTGAGGAAATCCCTCCCTGCTGGACTGGTTCGCCCCACAATCTGGTCATGTGACACCTGGGATTAGAGGAACGATTGTCATTTCTGTTCTCACTTCAGGACCCCATCAGCCCTCGGGCCACACGAGTCCTGTAATGGCTGGACATCCAGGCTGTGTGCGACAAAACGGTCTCTGAGAGTCCTTAATAGATGCCTTAAAGCGATGTTCTGTGCTTAAGCTCTAGAGACAGCATCTGCAGCAAGCAGCCAAAGAAAATAATAACGCAATATCACAAGAGAAAGAGTCTGTTATGACCGTATTAGGCCGTAGGCACGAGGCTAATCACAGCTAATCACTCTCGCAAGTGTGAAATTGCATTTGATATGCAAAGACTGAACAAGCAAATGTGTAAAAAGTAAGGAAAAGCCGAGGAGCGTCTCAAAGACTGTTTGTGAGTGGATCTAGTACTGCTAGCTATGCTGTAGCTTGACCCATACCTCTATATCACGTTATTCATCCACTTTACAACTAGACACGCTCTGTTCTTTTTAAATAAGTCTCTTCTGCTCACCAGGCCTGCATTTATTTGATCCAAAGTACAGCAAAAACAGTAACATTCTGAAATATCTTACTATTTAAAATAACTGTTTTCAGAGTATATTTTAAAATGTCCATTATTCATGTGATTTCAAAGCTGAATTTTCAGAATCATTACTCCAGCCACACGATCCTTCAGAAATCATTCTAATATTCTGCTTTGCTGCTCAAAAAACATGTATTATTATTATTAAGTTGAAAACAGCTAAAATAGAATTTTTTCAGGTTTCTTTGATGAAAAGGAAGTTCAGAAGGACAGCATTTATCTGAAATAGAAATCTTTTGTAACATTATAAATGTCTTTATCATCACTTTTACTTACAAATTGTAGTCCCCTACTAATTACGAATTGCATGACGCAGTTAGTAACATAATCTGGTTTATATATATATTAGATAATGTAGTCTGACTATTTTTTGATTACTTTTAGAGTACTTTTAAGTTAACTCGCTCATCACATAGACGTGAATGGGATTATTGTGTACCATATTAATGAAAAACAACAAATAGCACAAAGAGAATGAAAATATATTCCATTCTTTGTTACCAACATCATGGAATGCATGAAGCATTACATTACAGCAGGGTTTCCCAAACTGTATATAAGTGATAGGATCAATTAGAAAGCATATTTAAAAAATAAATAAATAAATAAAATAAGAATGGGAGTAAAACAATAAATTATGAATGTATGAATAATATGCAATAAAGTATACAAGTATGAATAAATATGCAATGAATCCATCAAAAAGTAACTTTAATCTAATTATAAGCATTGTAAAATAATATAATCTAATTACAAGTACTTGATTTTTGGAATCAGATTACATGTAATCAGTTACTACACTGTTTTTGTTTCGTCAAGTTTCATTTCTGAATAAATCAGCGTTTTTTAATGAATCAGTTGAATCAATGAATCAAATGACTCGCCCACAAGGACAGTCACTACCTAAATGTGGTGGCGTATCAGTTGTTAACTTGCAGAAAGAGTTACTAAAAAAATCACAATAATAATGCACAGACTGTGTCAGTCTGTCTGGAACGAGCAAACACAGTCAACGGAGATGATAAAAACAGTGTTGTTATCATCAGCACACTTGTAACAGCACTCAGCTAATCAAACTCCACAACAACTTTAAATCTGATAATGTTCTCATTGCCGTCATGTAAAGCTGAATGAATCAAATGACTCGCCCACAAGGACAGTCACTACCTAAATGTGGTGGTGTATCAGTTGTTAACTTGCAGAAAGAGTTCTTTCTGAAAAAAAATCACAATAATAATGCACAGACTGTGTCAGTCTGTCTAGAACGAGCAAACACAGTCAGCGGAGATGATAAAAACAGTGTTGTTATCATCTTTCAGCACACTTGTAACAGCACTCAGCTAATCAAACTCCACAACATCTTTAAATCTGATAATGTTCTCATTGCCGTCATGTAAAGCTTGTAAACATATTTTGCTGACTATGCCAAACACATGATCTTTCTCTGCCGCTTGCCTCACTAGACTTCCTGTTCGCAGGCTCGCTGACTTCCTGTTGCTGACTGTGCTGTCCTGTGCTGCTGACAGAAATAATAGTTCCATGAAAAGGTCTGTACCTTTCGCAGGAACTACAGTAAATTGGAACTGACCCTAAAATAGTTGGGCTGTTCCTTAAGGACGGACGGACTGAATATATTCAATTATATATGGATGATTCTTCAGTGAAGAGAGCTTTTCTTTTTATAATAATAATTATATATAATAAATAATTACATGTATATCCCTGTTGTCTGTCATGTCAAAGAGTCCTTTAGCTGAAAAAAGGTGATTCAATCAGCAGGAGTCAATGAAGCTTGATGTGAGAGATTTATTCTGGCAATCTCATTCCTTTTTTTTTTTTTTATTAATTCAGGATTTGTTAGTGATTTCGGTGCATATACAGATCATGAGATTTGCTTTGCATCTGAAAATGTTTTATTACCAGCTGAATCCTGTGCCTGACTCATTCTTACACCAGTTTACATCCAATTTTGCACAGCAATGAACTGAATAGTATACGTAACATGAGTATTGGCTAAAAACTTCTTAGAATTCTTAAAGATCTTAGAAAATAATCCTCTTAGAGAGAAAAAAAAATGGTTACACTTTATTTCGATAGTCCACTTTAGACATTCTATTAACTATACGTAACTTTGTAACTACATGTCAACTAATTCTCATTAATTTGCATCTACATGTCTACTAACTCTCAGAGTAGACAGGGTAGGTTTAGGGTTAGTAGAATGTTGACAAAGAAAGTGTTAGAAGATATTAAGCAGACAGTCTACTAATACTCTACTAACTGCTAGTTGACATGTAGTTGCAAAGTTACTTACTGTTAATAGAATGTCTAAAGTGGACTATCGAAATAAAGTGTTACCAAAAAAATTCCCATCTCAGTATTACTCAAAATTTCCAAGCGTTATGTTACTGTCTGTAACTGTGACTTTTCTTATTTTATTTTTATTTTTTTCTAAATGCTTATCATCACTGTACCATATGCAGTGTTGATTCTCACATAATAGGAATCAATGATAATGCACAATCCTTCAAAACTGATAAGATTAAAAAGAGAAGCATTTCTCTTGCCTGGTAATTTTCCAGCCTAAGCAAATTCAGACAGAACAAATGATTTGACAAATTACCCATGAGACAAACTAATCCATAAGTGAGCACAACTCTTTCCACTTACAGGTCTCCATCCCCGCTGAGCATGACTATCCAGCATCCAATCAAGTCTGTATGTTTCCAGAGTTGACAAAACACAGCTCAACTTACCGGCCGGCACAAAATGAAGCACTTCTTTGCTTTCCATCATTTTCCTCAGAAGTGTAGCCGATCAACCCATCACAAAGTTTACTGCTCAAGTAAATGCTAACCAGCCATTTAAATGTAAAGTAGCAAGCTCATTGGCTGTGTATGCAACATGAACCAATCAGCTTGTGCCAAATTGTTTAACGCTGTGAATATCATCAGTTACATTAATACCCGTCAGCCTGCACCATCTAGAGTTTCATGACTGAACTATACACACACACATCGGCTCTTATATATATATGATTAAGTTTTGTCTTTTAATATACTTTAAAACATAATTTATTGCTGTGATCGAAGCTGAATTTTTTTAGCATCATTACTCCAGTCTTTAGTGTCACATGATCCTTTAGAAATAATTCTACGCTGATTTATTAAAAGTGTTGGAAACAGTTTTTGCTTCTTAATAATTTTTGGAACCTGTGACACTTTTTCAGGATTCTTTGATGAATAAAAAATTCAAAAGAACATAATTTAATCAAAATATATTTTATAACAATATAAGGCTTTTTTTTAATCAATATTACTGATAACATTACATTCAGCAATGTATCTTGCTGAATAAAAGTATTAATTTCTTTAAAAAAACACAATTTCCAGAAAGATTTACACAGAATAAGATATTTAGTCCAAATTGAGCCCTGCACTGGGTCTGCCTGGAGAATACTTGAAACATCTGACTATTTACTAACTTTCATGAATTAAACAATTTCTTTCCACCAAGTAGACTTAAATGTGAGAGCTGATATGAATTTGAAATAACGCAGAATAAGTGGTGGCAAGGTGGAAGGATAATTAAAATTTGCAGTCAATATCATGCTACCAGTCCATTGAGAAATTAACCTGGCATCACATCCCTAATCTGCTCAATTTGGCAAATTTATACAAAGCACCTCTTGAATAACTGAAGAATATCCTCTTTAATAATATTCACAGTGAGCAATAATGACTGCAGAGTGAAAACTGCACATTTGGAGTAACAAATACTGTAAAGATTTGACAAAATCAGATGATAAACTAGCAAAAATGAATTTAGTTTCGACTTGCCATCAACTTTTTTCATGTAATATTTTGAGTAAAGTACAGAAAGTTTACTGAATCAGAATATACTGAATTAAGAGCATAAAATAATATGAAGCAAATGACAGTATATGCAACACTTCTTTTATAAAACTGTTATTCTTTCACAACTTACACAAATAAATAAATAAATCCTTGATGTTCACCCCTCCCTCTTTCATTCCTTCATGGGTGCTTTCCATTGAATTCCTTTAGAATAATGTAATCATTCATGGCATACCTGCTAATTATTTTTGTAGAGGTTAGATGCCTTGTAAACCTTTATTTTCTCATCTAAACTTACATCAAAGAGGTGCTTTCACATAACACCTCCGGCGCTCTGTTAAACGTTAGTGAGTCCTAAGCAGATTGAACGCCACTACAATTATGCCAGAAAAACATGCGGCATGGCAGTAAAAGTTGTTGGTGGGCATGTTAAATGTACAGGCCTCAGGTATGCAGCGTCGCAGTGAGTTACGCCTCTGGCTGCTGCTAGGGGGCGACACACAGCAGCATTATTACAGGATTCATAATTATATGACTCAAACACCACCTCAACCAACAATTATCACATTACTTCAAGTCATACTGCAAGTGTTTTGTTAAATAACAGGGTTGCATACATACATGCATTATTAAACTTGTGTACTGGATCATTTCTATAGAAAATAAACTCTTTAGAATATTCCATTTGTTCACTAACAATGTATATACGTGCATGCTCGAGAGTTTTTCCTTAAAGTTATTTTCACCATGGTGACATTTAACCACATCTCAAATGATGTATTGTGCAAAACGAATAGTTCACCCAAAAATGAAAATTTGCTGAACTTTTTCTCACCTTCAGGCCATTCAAGATGTAGATTTGTTTGTTTGTCATTAGATTTGGAGAAATGTAGCATTACATTTAGCATTAACCAATGGATGCTCTGCAGTGAATGGGTGCCGTCAGAATGAGAGTCCAAACAGCTGATAAAAACATCACAATAATCCACAAGTAATCCACACCACTCCAGTCCATCAGTTAAGAGCTTGAGAAGACAAGAGTTGTGTGTTTGTAGGAAACAAACCCATCATTAAAGTGTTTTAACTTCAAATCGTTGCTAATTGCTAAAATACGAGTCCATAATCCATAATATTGCTTTCTCCAGTGGTTTTGTCTGAATCAGGAGAGAAATATGCACAGATCAAGCACGGTGTACAAGTAAAAACAGTCCAAAACAGCTCTAAACAAATATGTGGGTGGATTTTGATGTGAGAGACAACAGAAGATTAACTTTTTCATTGGAGGAAACGTTATTATGGATTATTGTAGCCAGAAGAAAGGGTTTAAATTCTTAAATGGATTTCTTTCTTACAAACATGCATCTTTTCCCCTCACAAGATGTTAACTGATGGACTGGAGTGGTGTGGATTATTGTGATGTTTCTATCAGCTGTTTGGACTCATTTTGACGGCACCCATTCACTGCCAGCTCTTACGCATTTGGGATGACACGCGCTTATAGACTCTGCCTCACAATCTCACGCTTCCCGACTAAATCTCATGCCAAGTAACAAGACATTGCAAAATAAATAGCTAAATCTGCTCATAAGGTCTTCAGACCAGCACTGGACTTGAGAAATAAGAAATCTGACTGGTAATATTAACTGCATTATTAGCAAACCAGCATATATGGCAGGTAAAATGAAAAGGGAGAGTTCCTAAAAAGTGCTAGTGTTCTAGTGCAACACTAGGCCCAAGTATTTGGGTAATTTGCATTATTTCATTCAAAATGAAGTGTTGGAACCTCAAATATTTGTATTAAATCCATGTCATCAATATCTCACTCCAGCCAGGCAAAAAAAGGGTGGCATCTCAAATATCAGTCCAGTGTTAATTTAAAATGAAAATGAAGAAAATATCATAAAAGTGGAAATAAAGTGCTCACTGATTATGCTATTATTGCATGCTGTTTTTATAATGTATAACATTAAAGGGGTCATATGATGCGATTTCAATTTTTCCTTTCTCTTTGGAGTGTTACAAGCTCTTGGTGCATAAAGAAGGTGCAAATAGTATAGACTATCTGCCAGTATTTGCATTTAGTGTAAATATAATCTGTCACTATTTGCAATTAGCCTAGTGTAAATAGCCTTTATGTCATGATTCACACATCAGATGTGCCATATTTCATCTTATAATTTAACATTAATTCATATTTTTTAAAAAGATTTTCAAAGTCTGTGTCTGTGGAAGGTTCAAAAACATATGAAGAATAACTTCTAAGACATCAGCCAGAAGTTGAAGAGTCCTCTATGTGATTATAGAGTTTCTGTCTGTTTTAGTGAATGTCAACAGTGCCCTCTACTGATGTAGAGCCAAAGGATCATCGAAGTAACATTAATCCAGACTGATTTTAATTTACAGCAGTGGTTTTCACTCCTCTGGACCCTCAGCACTGCACATTTTCTATCTCTTCCTAACACAGATCAGATCATCAGCTCATTAGCAGAGATTAACATACAAATGTGCAGTGCTGTGAAGACCAATGCTGGCCCGAGAGCCAGAATAGACTCTGAAAAACACACTGTAGTGTACGCAGTTTTGGGCACTCAAACGCTTCTTGAGTTAAGAGTTTAGAGAAGAAAAATAAAAGGCATCACACATGAAAGACAATTATTACCATTCGAGATCATCTGCATTTATAACACAAACTCTATGTTTAAACTGATCATTGTCCAGTCCTGCTCCTGAAGGGCCACTTTTTTTTAATTGCTAATTCTGTTTTGTAAATTGCAATGCCTGCAAAGGCTTATGGGTGAGTGGACAACGCGAAGGATGATGTAAAAAAAATTATGAATGAAAAAAAAAAAAAGAAAATTAATGAATGAAGCCGTCAAATTGGGAAGCAACCAAAGATTCTCCTAAATGGAAAGATACAGCCTTCACGGCTGGTGAACTATGTGCTTTTTAAAATCATTACAAATGATGTCGAAATTTGAAAATGAATGACTCTTTTGATCTGTTTTTGTTAGTGAATCAATGTTAGTGATTAGTGACAGTTCAATATGAAATCAGTTGAAATCATCCAGTCATCTCATACCATTGACGTGAATGTTCAATTTATCAGTATATATTGTAATAAATATTTGAGAAATTATTGTTGTATCTGATTGTATTAGTCTATATAGAGTGATGTTCAATGTAAAAAGAGCAAATAGGAGAAGCAGTTGAACACAACAAAGTTAAAGAGGGTAAACTTTATCATTCAACTGAACTGTGCACATGTGTTTTTAAACACTTCGCCTCCTTATGTTAAACTCTCAGGTATATCAATGGTGTGACCTATTTCAGATGTGGCAGAAATTACTACAACAGTAGATACATACACATGTTTAATTGTTTGATCAAAATTATTGCTAGGGACATTTCAGTGGTCGCTGGATATTGGTAGGGACATGTCATAGCATCTCTACTAAACTCTATGCTCTTGTCTATATTACTCTGTTTTTGAGTATCTGGTTGTCTGTTTTTGATGCCCGTCACA